GATGGCACAGACCCCAAAAGGTGGTTGAAAGTGGATTGTGCAACTATGGACGATATGTTACGTGTGAAAATCTCACAGGGACCACTGCAGTCTTGCAGAAGTTTCACCCATGAGGCCCATGGATTGGCTCGGTTGACGGAGGTGTTTCCTCCGTCAATGTCAATGGATGTGACAAAAGGCTGGAGACTCCGGTCGGCCGACATGTTTGCATCTTGAGCCAGGGATGCATGATGATGCATGTATGCACTGAAACGGAGCCAGCGGGTCCTGAAAACCTCTACAAAAATAGAACCAACAAAGGAATGTCGAGAGTCGTTCCTGCATGTTCCTGCCTCATTGACCACCAGAATCTCTTTCTGAGGCTCCTGGCAGTCAAAACTGACCCAACAGGGATACGATGAACCCACCAAACCAAACAAAGGGCCTGATCCAAGACTTGAGCACCGCTTTGGAGTAGCCAACAAAGTCAAGCAACCAATTGATTCCGAGATGTTCAGCAGCTACGCCCTCATGCTCAGCTACGTCATGCTACTTCGCCAGCCGCCAAGTCTGCCCACTTTTCGACCGGGTGCCAGCGGCCATGCACTCACATCAATCTCAGGCAAGTGTTCGCTGGTGGTTGGCAGCTTGTAGCCTGCTGGTTCTGATCCAGGCTGGCTACAGTTGTAACATGGTCTAATATTGCACCTCCTATCTAACAATGACATACTTATAATATTTATATAGCTAATGGTTCGTGCGTGCTACTTAATGGGTTCGTGTCAAAATGGTCCCAGCATGGCATGGCGCAAAAAGATAATACATAGAGAGTAACTCCCATTGGTTGAGACTGAGGAGGTTTCCCTCCATCTACGACAGACCATGCATATATCTTATAGCTTGCGTATGTAACCTATTCACAGTAACAGTGGATGATGATGGTTAGTAGAGGCCGTGATACTTGTTTGCCGACTGTTGCAGGTTATGGGACAAACCCAATATATATGTCTCAGATCTCAAGGCTTTGATGCCAAGCAGCAAATGCAGGAGGCATCGTAGTCGGTGCTGTCCGACGGGACGTGGTCTAGGAAGTTGCCATACACGTCCTGAGATCACTTCGTGTCGGCTGGAAGGGATAGGTTCGGCGGGGTTCGACAGGGAGGGAGAAAGGGTTTCTAGACCGGATGTGGAGAAGAGGCACTCCTGCCTTATCCTCCATGAAGAACCCCAACACCGCCGAGAAGATCCACCATCTCCATCTTGACCCAATAAATCCAAACGGTTTGATCAGAGATGACCAGAGTAAACCATGTCGATGAATCTGACAATTCATCCTTCCCTTCTGTTCAAGGTTTAACCGTCGTTTCAATAAAACACACATATCATTTCTCTTTGCTATCTTCCACGTCCAGATCGGTGGGGTGCTCCGGTGCTCCGTATCACTCGTGTTTCTGCTCGCTCTCAATGAGAGCTTTCATATCCTGTTGTCATTCACCTGAAACACAGAGTTCGTTAGGTGTCCATCATGTGAACCTGGCCCAAATTGCTGAATCTGACCCAAACATCTGCACATCTCGTCCCAAACACCTGGATGCAAAAATCAATCGTGACGGATCTTGGTCAACATGTTGTTGTTCTCAATGCCAAGTGCAAACATTTTGTCTAAATGAACCCATGATCTGTAAAAAAAACAACATGTTTACAAACAAATGCTCTTGATTGTCCAAACACCTGGTGTTCCCTTCCTCAGCAGCTCAGCAATCTCTTTTCTGTGAGCACTAGCCCCACCGGGCAGTCCAACAAAACTTGGAAGTGGAACCCACACCTCCCATCCTCTGCGGCACGGGTAGGGATAGGCCTACTGTAGGCCTATGGGTAGGGTAGGGTAGTCGGCTATAGATTTGGCCCCACTGGTCGACTATACCCCGTTACGTGGGAGTTCTGTATGATCCTCTGCCACTCTCTCGCTGAAAAACCGCCGAGCGAACCAGCGGCTGAATGCCAGGAGCGATAGCGCCGCAGCGTGGTGTCGATGCTGGGGGAGCTCTGCCTAAGCAGGAAACCGATTTTTTTTTGTGGCTCTGCTTGGATTAGTCGTCCAAGAACTAGGAACCGGGGAAACATGGAATTTTTACAACATATTCCCCAGAAGGGATGCTTGTGTTGGTTTTCTTATATGTCTATATTTGTAGGAGCCGGTGTCTATTTCTGCAAATGGGAACCGGGATTCACCCATTAGGGAGGCAAAATCCTCACCCGATCTGCCGCAAATACCCAGTCAATCTGTGTGATCCATCTGGTTGGGAGGTCGTGAGGGAACCAGGCGGGATGGGGATCTGGGAAGGAATGTGTCCCTCCAAGGCAAGGAGGACATCCTTCGTTCTACTGGCACCAAAACAGTCTCCAAGTCCATCCAGTTTGAAAAATGAAAACACTGTGCAATAAGTAAACTTTTGAATAATGAACCCCCCTATGAAGAGGATGTGCAACTCAAACGGAGGATTTACTAAATCAAGAGTCTACATTATTTTCCGGGGCAGCCAATGCCGTCCCTGTCACATCGACGGACTGTGGCCACCCGTCCGCCCCTTCAAGTCCAGGGGGCACCACCAAGTCCGCCAACTCAGCCAGGGTGATGCAATGATCAAAGCCTCAACCCGCCGCAAGCGCCACGTCCGGCGAATCTCATCTTTTGGACGATCTCATTTGGGATGAAGGACGCTTTTAAGGGATCCCATGTGTTGAGGATCCAATTTGCTTGGGATCAGCTTTGGCTCCAATGTGGAGATCGCTCTTACATCGCACGGTAGTTTTGGGACCACTTTCATGCGTGAAGCCTGCGCGAAAGCCTGCCATGAGGGTTGAGGGAACTTGGCCTCAGCCCTCATCATAGGCCTGGAAATACAAAGCTTCCGGACGGAAAGCACCTGAATCCTGTATATTTTAATATATCGATATATACCTGGAACCTCTGGTGGGTACAAATTTCAGCTGTTTCGACAACCTGCAATTATTTCAATCGCTTCGCAGGAAAAGTTCCGTTTCAAATGAAAACCTCCGTTTCAGATTCCGCAGCACACCTGCTTTGGATCAGGAGAGGCCGCACAACTTCGGGTACGCACGTCTCCAAAGCAACCTTGCTTTGATCAAGTAAAGTTCAAGAACACAAGGTTGCACACCTTGAGTCAACAGTTGTAGCAAGTCTGCAAGTCTGCAAGTGCGACCTATGAGGTCTTCTCCAATCTCACAGGAAAAGCATAGAGGGGAAATTATGTATTCCGTTGTGGGGTCAGCCAACATGACCTCAAAGTCCAGCAAGCAATGTCGAAATAAATCAATCTTTGGCACCATAGCCCAGGCTGCAAAGGATTGGCTCTGTAGATTGTGGTACGTAAGCCAAGAGGCAGTACTTGTCCAAGAAAGCCTGGCCACACTGCAGTGAAGCAGCCGCACAAGCTCGCGGGAGAAGCAGCCCGTGATCAAGCAGGTGCTTGTAGTACTGAAGGCCATGGTTGCCACATCCCTGCATGGCAAGCAAAAGCTGGCGGCGTTGACCGGACTCATCAGCAGCATAAATCGGAAGAAGAGAGCAAAGCCACTAGCAAAGCCATTGCGTCAACAGAACGGCCAATTGAACAGGGTCCTGCTGAAGCTTCTCAAAGATGGCGTCTTGTGCTCCGAGAGAGTCCACATTCTAAACAGGCTGTGCGCCCGTTAACCAGGATGGCCTTGACTGATGGAACCTTTGACGGCCACTGCAGGATCAGGTTGTCTCCCTGGCTCCAAGCCTCACCACTTCCTCAGCCTCAAGCGTTGCAGCCAACGTAGCCATGCTGAGGCGAAGGAGAACTGAGCTGAGCTGATGTTCGAGCAAAGGTTGCATCAGAAGAGGTCGACAGAGCAAACGACAGAGCAAGCCTCAGTCGGCCGAGACGTCTTCCTCCATGATCTTCACATGCCAGCGGGCCGTCAACCCAAAAGCTGCGTTTCATCTGAGAACTGTCGTTCCACTGGAGAACGCTATTCTTTTTGAAACTGATAAAATAATGTTCCTACAGAAGACTCGGGTATAGTTATACTACAGCAAACAAATGGACACAAAAACATGGAGTCCTTAATTGAGCACCGCGTTGGCAAACCAAGCTACCGTAGTACATGAGAGATGGTGCAAACTCAGCGGACCCCGGCAGGATGATATGGGTGAGTATATTAATGTATAATTAATGTATATTTATGTCTGTATAGATTTATGTTCCTTGGGTTCATCTCCTCAATAGTTTCAACTAGCGATTGGTATCCAATCCATGGCACATCACACCTTTGATGAGGCAGTAACGTACTGTAAGAAGACACCAAACATCGCAACACCATTCTACACCAAACATCGCAACACCATTCTCGTTCTGTCCGCGCCGTCTCCCAGTCATGGTACTCTTCAAGTTGAACTGAGTCTTGAAGTTCCCGTTGCACCAATCCCGCAGCAGCAAGCGCGTCACGCCATTCTCCTCCAGCACACTACTGGGCTCACGCCCTTGGAAGCACACCTTCTTACCTCGCGTCGCGTCCACCGCGCCCGACACGAGCCGCGCGATGCGGTGGACGGAGGAGGTCGGAGCATCGGGTCGTGTCCGGTCCGGTCGAAAGGAGAGAACGACCGACAGCACTGGCGACGGGTTGTGTCTGGCACCAGGAGTCAAATGTATTGTAAATTATATGCAAGATATGTAAGTATGTCTGGGCCAGGGTGATGAATCCCTTTCTTTGGCAGGCATCTTCGGTGATCACATGGCGGGTTTGGGTCAAGAAGTCGTTTCAGCTTGTACCCAATTGTATCTTTTTGGAGATTCCATCCTTTCAGCACTGAGACTGGACAAGGATGGAAAAGGTTTGGCTGTCGGCTGTCGCGTGGATTCCCGCTTGGCTTTCAGAAGTGCCCAGTGAAAAGGGGGATATGTTCTACCTGAAGAATGGCCTATGGCCTCCACCTAGTAGAAATGTTGATGTTTTTCTCTTCCCGTTTGTTTGGAATGACTTGCCCACCCCAAGACCATGCCAGCATCAAAGAGTTGAAGCCACCTGGCCCTTCTTCTGATCATCCATGTAAACTTAAACTATATCAACTATATAAATCAAATGAATTCAAATAATGATAACCGCCTCAAAAAGACCAGGAACCTGAAAAAGCCTTCATTCTCGAAACCTGCGAGTGACCCATAAGGCCCTATCAACCGAAAGAAAACGACGGATGATATATATTACACCTTGGAGCACCAGGTAGGCCCTACGTCCGAATTGCCGCCAGCTGACTGGTGATGGAATTGCTCAGCTTTCCCAGCTCTTGGAGGAAATCCTGACGGTGCGAGCGCTTCCGCTGCCCCATGGAGCTCCCGATGTAGAAGGTGAAGGCGATGATGAAGGCAAAGACCACCTGAGAGAAAGCTCTGAAAGTTTTTACTGACGTCCCAAGTCTGAATCTGCCCAGCTTGAGGGAAAGCGAGCTGGGCAGCCATGTTTACGGTAGCTCCCATTGGAAGAACCATGAAGAACCTGAATTCTTCCAATCCCCGACTCTCCCAAACGATTTCCTGTCTATTGCTGTCTCACAAAAACATCATCGATGTCAGCACGCCTCTCTTACGCTTCTCCATGGCTTCTTGATGAACAGCACAGTGGAGAGGAGAACGGGCAATCTCAATTCCTGTTTGTCTTCTCCAGTGGCTTTGGAGTGTTTCCAATCTACTTGACAAATACTCCATTTATGCTGGTTCTCTGTCTTTGAAAGGGTTTCCTTCTCAGTTGGCGGAGGCTTGTACAAGGAGCCGTGGAACAAATAGATGGCACA